CTTGGAATTCAAGTCATATAATCTGTAACCCTTAACTCCTGAAATGTACCCCAAGAATACACAAGCTGCAGCCCTATCATCAAACTTCTGCTTGTGTGGGACATTCCTTTTTGCATAGCATAGGCACCCAAAAACCTTAAACATGCTGTAATTAGGAGAAGTCTGATGGAGCACTTCATAAGGACTTTTCCAGCCCAACCTTTCACTAGGTAAGGTGTTAATTATCTGAACAGCTGCCAGCAAACTGTAGGGCCAAAGATTTTTCTTCAAATTTGCCTGAAAGGAGATTGATCTTGCCACTTCTAGTATTGTTCTGTGCTTCCTCTCCACCACCCCATTTTGCTGTGGGGTGTAAGGACATGTCCTTTGATGAATTATTCCTTTTTCTCTCAACAAATTCATGAACTCCTTGTTAACAAATTCAGTTCCATTGTCTGACCTTAGCCTTTTCACCTTTTCATCATACTGCACTTCCACCATGTTCAGAAAGAACTTCAAGTGACCAAATACCTCTGTCTTGTATTTCATAAGGAAGATCCAAGTGGCTCTGGTGAAATCATCCACAATGGTCAGCATATAACAGGTGTTTGTCACTGACTTCTCATGATATGGTCCCCAGACATCTGTATGTATTAGTTCAAATCTCCTCTTGCTTTGAATGCTGCTGATGGGAAAAGGAGCTCTACATTGTTTGGACCTGTGGCAGATATCACAAGGGTTTGATTTCTGAACCATGTGCTTGGATTTAAAAAAACTGAGATGTTTCAAAGCATTATAAGAACTGTGTCCAAGTCTCTTGTGCCAAAGATCTGCTTCCTTGTCCTCAGTCTGCATTTCTTCCACAACATTTATATAGAAGTCTTGCCCTTCTATGACATATAAACCTCCTATCACCTTTCCTTCAACAATTGTGTTGTTGTTCCTTTGATCTGATAACCTGCAGCTCTTACTGGTAAAATTAAAAACCAACCCACTATCTTCAATCAGCTGCCCCACAGATAACAAGTTGTATTTGAATTCTGGTACCAACAACACCTTTTTGAGAGTTATCTTGTCATTTAGTTGAACTTCTCCAACTTTTGTAACTTGAAATTTAGAACCATCAGGCAAATTCACTATAACAGGCACAAGAATGTCAGTGCTTTGAGTCACCAGATTAGGGTTTGAGCAAATGTGTTTGCTGGCTCCAGTGTCCACAATCCAGCTTCCTCCATTCAGCTTGCTAAATAATGAGAAAACATAGCCTTCACTCTCAATTGAAGAATCCACCAGATGTGAAAAAGTATGTGTTTCTGCATCTTGCTGCATGGACATATACTTTGCAACCTCTTTAGCTAGTGAACTAATGTCTGGCATGGAAGTGTCACTATGTTGTGATTTTACCTCTGAATCACTCTTTGATAATTCATCTCCTTCCACCATGTTCACATTCTGGTTTTGCCTTTGCTGCTTAAGTTCTCTGTACCAATCTGGATACCCATTTAGTTTGAAGCACCCTTGTACCTCATGCCCATTAAAACCACAGTGAGTACAGAAGAGTTTAGCTCTTTCCTCTTTGCTCAGTCTAGGTAAACCTCTTCCTCTTCCTGTATTGTTGTAGAACTGTCCACCAGATCCTCTACCAACATTACCACGACCAAACCCTGAGCCTCTTCCATAATTTCCTTTTGCCAACATGATTGAAGCTTCCAAGGGATTCTGTAAGCCAGTTATCATGCTCTTTTGCTTCTCTACTTTCAAAAGCATGGAATATGCTCTGTTGATAGTTGGAAGAGGATCCATTAAGAGGATTTGATTTTTGACAGGTTCAAACACATCATTCAATCCCATGAGAAATTGTATGAGTTTGATTTCCATCTCATTTTCTGTGAAAGCTTTACTGGAACCACAAACACATTCAGGCAATGACACAAGAGATGCATACTCGTCCCATAAACATTTCAGCTTAGTGTAATATGTGGTAACTGTGTGTGAACCTTGAACAAAGTTGGCTATCTCCTTCTGTAACTGGTATTTGAGAGGGCCATTACTTTCACCATATCTCTCGGCCAATTCATCCCACAATTGCTTAGCAGTTTTGACATATAGAAAGGCTTCAACAATTTCTTTTGAAATAGAGTTTAACAGCCAAGATATTACCATCGACTCTACCTTCTGGTACTGTGTGTGTTCATCTGTGTTTGGTTCTGGAACTTCAACTGTGTCGTTTATGAATCCGAGTTTTGACTTCGCACTCAGAGCAAGCTTCATAGCTCGACTCCAATGTAAGTAATTCGCACCTGTGAGCTGAATCGTGACTAAGATTAGCCCAGGATGATCAGATCCATGAAGCGCCAGTGGATCTATGTCCCTTGAATAATTGCTCCGTACGATATCTTGCGCCATTGGAGATCTATGTAATTAACCCGCTCTAGATACCATGTAAATTTGAGTAAACTAGTATCGAAAATAAAATCTGGACGCCATTTTTACTCCCAAAGCTTCTTAGCTCAAATATTCAGATCTCAAAAGATGAAGATGACAAGTACAGAACCATATATGAGTTTCCCTCAGCTCACACACATGCTAATAAGGTTCACACGTGTACAACATAAAATGCGAATAAAAGAGAAAAAAAACAGAACAACAAAAAAACGTTAAAACGAGTTTATAAGTAACTCGCGACTTTGCTGGGCAAATTAAAAAGGCTCTTTTTACTGCTGCATGCAACGATCTTCTGCATGTAAGCTCGTGCTTCTTCTTCAAGAAAATCGAACACGTCAACAGACCCAATACAATACTTCTCATTATTGTACAAACTCGTACGATTGTGGCACCAAGATCATACAAATATTCACCAGAGAAAAAACATTAATCTACTAGGGAAACACAAAAACTACAGTAATGCCAATACATTCTTTTTTTTTTTTTTTCTTCCTT